TCATTAGATTAATAAATACAGCACATTTCTCTAGATGGTCAAGGAAAACCTTGGTTTTTCAACTGGTAACCTCAATAAACTAAATGTTAATTAGTAGCCTGTCCCAGAAATCAAAGGTTCCCATGGACAAATTGTGGGCTCCATCTACAAAGCCCTGTAGCTGGGGAGCAACCTTCATGGACACTGCCTTTGTGCAGGGTGGAGCTACTGGCCTCCTGGCTACCTTCCCTAAGACCTCCCAAGCCTCACCAGTGCCTGTCCTGTGGCATGCGCATCACAAGGCCATGTGTGTGCCACCGACTATGCGAGGGGATGGTCCAGAGAGGCAGATGGGCGTAGCATCGGCAGTCACCCGGAAGCCCTCTGAGACCACTGCACAGCCTTCAGCTTCCCTGATGCCCCAGGAAGCACGTGGAGGGCAGTGAGAGAGCAGGCCAGCAGCTGTGGATATGGAGGCAGAGTCCACTCTGGGGACAGCGTCTGGAGTGATGGCAATGGGGCTGGGTCTGCTGCAGTGCATTCCAGCCATGCGGGATTCTCTCCTCTAGCTCTTTCCCTTCTGACCTTACCTTGGAGCTGTCTTTGGTACTCACATGTTAAACGTTATTGTATTTCCCCACTAGATTGACCATTTACCACTGAGATGGCCCTCCATCCCTAAGACTGCCTGCCTGAGGCTACCTTGTCTGTTGGCAGCTGTGAGGGCTCTGTGCAGTGCCCAGGCTTGATGAGCAGATCCTCGAACACAGCTGGGTTCCGTTATTTCACCTGATCGGCAACTTTCCAGTTGTAGTCTGCACTCCACTTGCTTGAGATACTTAGTGGTAGGTAAAACTGGGGTTAAAACCTTGTGTTTGTCCCCTCTTCCTTTGGACTGGTAATACAGCCTTCACTTGTTTCATGGACATTTTTTTTGCTTAGTGGTTGCTGTAGTGACTGTCTGATGTCTCAGACACACTTCACATCCAAACTTCCACTACTTATGTGCAGTAGAGGTCCACAGCTCTTTGCTTTCCCCCACTTTTGGACTTTTGTCTATGTATTTCAAACCCTAACAGATAGTGTTCTGTAGTCCGTTTGTGTGGACTTCCCACGTCTCATTCCTTCTAGTAGTGTCCCCTTTCCTTCTGACACCATGTAGGTCTGTTGGGGGATTTCCTTCTGCTTGCAGAACTCCCCCAGGATATGAGCAATGCCCCAGCCTGCTGGTGACAAGTTGTTTTTTTGTCTGACAACTTCAACATTTTTGGGTACATGAGTCTACTATGGCAATTATTCTTTCAGCACTTTCAAGATGCCATTCCACTGTTTTAGCTCGTTTTTAAACACGTCAGCTGCCTCTTGTATTCCTTCTTTGAAGGTGTGTTTTTAGACTTCTGGTCTTTGGATCTCAGCACTCTGATATGATGTGCCTGGTGTAGGTTATTTTTAATTTGTCCTGCTTGGGGTTCAGATATTCTGTCATTTACAGCTGATGTCTTTGACTCTTTCAAAGAATTGCTGTCCCTTCCTGGCTCCTCTCCTGAATGCCCATCATCTGTGCTGGGCCTCTCCAACACATCAGTTTCAGCTGCTCTGCTGCATCCTCCTTCCAGCTGTCCAGAACCTGGGTGCTTCCCACTGACCTTCCAGTTCAGCAGCTGCTGTTTCTACCTTGGTATTCCATTTACCAGACTCTTCACTCAGCACGGTAATTTTTAGTTTTGGAATGTTCTTATTTACAGATTCCCGCCCTCTGGGAACATTCTGATCTTTTCGTGGTCTACAAAGTGACTCAACTTGACGGGTGATACCCATCCAGCGGACACTCTACTGCACCTTTTGAACTTTGGCCTTCTCCTAGCTAATGACATGCAGCCCACCCTCTCTTGCAGCACTGGCTGGGGTTGAGCTGATCCCACTGGCCCCAGAATCACGGAGACCGCAAGGCTCTAGTGCCCTGCGTTGCTAAGCTCAGCAGGTAAGGAATATTAAGAGCACTTCCAACTCATGATGGGGTTATGGGGCATGACCCATCCTATGTGGAGGGCCTTCTGCATGGCTGAATGGAGGGATCATGAGGCTCACATCTGAAAACTGGTGTTTGGACTCTGTGAGCCTGTTTCTGTTGTCTATTACTCTCTTTCAGCATTTGGTCATTTTTTGTGTGTCTGACAGTTCTTTTACTGAGAGTCAAGCTACATACACATGTGTATCACAGAAGCTATGATCTTTTCATTGAAAGAAAATCTAGCCAGGCATGGTGGCTCACATCAGCTATTTAGGAGTCTGAACTGGGAAGGATGGCGGTTCAAGGCCAGCCCAGCAAAGAGTTCACAAGACCCCATCTCCAACATAACAGTAAAAATATGGAGGTGTGGCTCAAGCAGTAGAGAACCTGCTTTTCGGGAAGTCCTGAGTTCAAACCCCAGTCCCCCCCAAGAAAAGAGAAAATATATGAAATTTTCATTAAAAGATCTGACACAAGCAGGTCACCCTGATGCTGGGGGTGGCTCAGCTCTTCCAGGTTCATGAGGGCTAGACTGTGCTGCAGGTCTCACCTGTGGTCCCTGGGGCTTCTCTGTGGCAAGCACTGTAGTAGTAACGTCTTCCTGCATCCAGCAGTCTCCTCAGTCTTCCAAGCTCCTGCTGGATGTGTTCTGGGATATGACCTGCTTGTCCTGGGCAGGAGCCCATCAGGAATCAGCACCTACCTTGAAGGAAGGTCCTTACAGGTTACCAGGCCTGCTCTGAGAGCTCCCTTCTCCCAAGACCATGGCTTCTTGAGTCTTGGACAACAGCTCTTAGGTCCCAATGCTCTCCATAGCCCGGTGCCCTGCTGCCAGCTCTGGCAACCTTCGTTCAGCCTCACAACCAGGACATGAGCCAATGTCCCAACAGAAAGAGAGGTGTGAATATAGGATTTGCCTTAATGCAAGTCTCCTTCTTCCTGGATTTTTGTTTCCTCAAATCCTGACTTCCTTGATTGCTCTCTGTTGTGTTTAGAAAGCTCTTTTTAAAAGTATGTTTTAGCTAGGTGCTGGTGGCTCACACCTGTAATCCTAGGCAGATTAACCAGGAGGCAGAGATTAGGAGGACTGCGGTTCAAAGACAGCCCTGGCAGAGTTTGTGAGACCCTATCTTGAAAAATACCCAACCTAAAACAGGCTGGCAGAGTGGCTCAAGAGGTACAGTGTCTGCTTAGCAAGTGTGAGGCCCTGAGTTCAAACACCAGTACTTAAAAAAAAATTTGTTTTAAAGTTTTACATGACTTTTGATAGTTTTGGGGGAGAGTCGGTCTGATACCAGCTGCTGTTTCATGATCAAAAGTGAAGGGGAATTTTAGCTTCAAATGAGTCCAGTGTTTCATTATTTTTATAATTAACAAATGGTAGTTATATTAACTTTCTGAGGTTTCTCCAAAGGGCTTTTTATTACCTGAGAGAGACTTGAGAAATCCAGGCACCTCCCCCAAATGCCACCTGGAGACAGAGGACAAACAGTTCAGATGGAGAGGTGAGGAGGGATAGCTGAGAAAAAACACGTTTTCTACTTGTGCCCACAACCCCGACTGAATACCTGCCTCTGTAAGTGACCAGTGTCTGTGTGCAGGGTTATCAGCGACTGAGGACTGGGCTGGCTCCACTGTGTCCTTAGTGTTGAGGGTCAACAAGCATCCCTGACCAGGGCTGTAGTGCTCAGGATAAAGGTGCTCCTAGCATCGCTCAAGGGCTCATGTTCCTCCATTTTGGTGGTACTGGGGTTTGAACTTGGGACTTTGTACTTGTCAGGCAGGCTCTCTACCACTTGAGCCATTCCTCCAGCCTAAGGGGCCACATTTCTGTTGAGAAACAAGCCCATGTTTTCTCTGCAATCTCTTTTTATATACTGACTGTGACTCATAATCCTGTAGCTAGAAAATGGCAGCATGAGCCCCAAAGTTCAAAAACAGCAACAGAAGGCCAGACTTGGTGGCTTACGCTTATAATCCCAGCCATTCAGGAGGCAGAGATTGAGAGGCTCAAGTTTGAGGCCAACCTGGGCAAAAAGTTAGCAAGACTCCGTTTCAACCAATAAGAAATAGCTGGGTGTGGTGGTGTGTGCCTGTTATCCTGACCATGTGGGAGGCGTTAAATAGAAGGTTCGTGGTACAGGCCTGCCCAGGCAAAAAACTCAAGACCCTGTTGGAAAAATAATGAGAGCAAAAAGGGCTGGGGGTGTGGCTCACGTGGTACAGTACATGTGGGCTGCAGTCTACAGTGCCTGGCTTAGGCTACAGGCTCTGTCAGAGCAGGGATGTACCCAGGTGAACCACTGCTGTGTCCCAGTAGCTGGCCCAGTCACCTTGGAGTTAGGAAGTGATACAATTCTGCCATTGACTGACCTGACATTTTTGTTGTTTTGAGACAGGATATCACTGTGTAGCTGAAACTTGCTATGTAATCCATCTGGCCTCGAATTCGTCATCCTATTACCACCTTCTAAGTACTGGGATCACAAGCCCAGCAGGGCTGACATGTTTTATGGAGGGAAAACCCATGATGCTCAATATCGCAGAATTCTGAAGATGTTACTATTTGAAATTCAACTGTAAGAAAAACAGGATGGCAAGCAGTCTGTGGACGGGGCTAAGCAGGAACTGCTGCCCTTGCTTCCAGCCTGGAGCGCTCCTAAGCCAGGAGGGCACTGGCCAGGGGGACTGGTGGGTAGTAGAACTCTTGTCTTAGACCAGTGCCATAGGGCCATGTCCCCGATTAGCATCCAAAGGGCCTCTGGAAATAGGCTGGTGTCCAGGGAGTGAATGCACAGACACCAGGTCAGAGGACACGGGAGGCAACCCGATTCTGGTACCACACTCCTAACCACACTCCTAACCACACTCCCTTTGAACACAAGGGAGTCAGCAAATTCTAGTTATTGTCATTGCTGTCATCAGAAATGGTGTTGTAAGAATCCTATTTCCAGGCTGAGGGAGTGGCTCCAGTGGTAGCATGCCTGCCTAACAAGAGTGAGGCCCTGAGTTCAAACCCCAATACCACAAAAAAGAAAAAACCCTGTTTCCACTCCCCAGTGGGTAAGGTAACATTTCAAATGCTGTATGAGTACAGTTTCTCCATATTGGCCCACAAAGAGCACACTTGCTTTATTATTGTAAAAATAAAAAGTCAGTGTGTCTACCAGCACTAGAAAATTGCAAATGAAAAGTTTAGTTTCAGAAGCCAAGTTCACCATTTATAAATACACTAACGCAGAGTCCACGCAAATTCAGACTGAGCATAGGACAGTATTTCAACAAAACAACTTTTCTTTAAAAGGTCATAGGCAAGTGAGTGACTTGTCTCACTCAGAATATTTAATTTATTTGAAATGAGAAAACAAACCTTCTTTTAGATGTTAAAGCAAAAATTCTGAAGACACTGCTAAAAGAACCTGACAACTCCTATTTCATTCTGACGTCCTTGGGACTCTACAATTCCCCAGTGATGGCTGAGTCTTCCCTATCATAGAAAAAAGTCTAAGTGGCCATCCTCACAGCTGTGATGCTAACACAACAAGCGCCTTCCTTCTTAGTAAGCCATCTCCTCTAAAAAGAATCTTTGCTGTAATTTGATCAAACTGGGGGGCAGTACACACATTTAACGGGGTAGCTTTATAGCGTAGACACTAAATCAGAGGCATGGAGATTTGATCAACAGGCCGTCTGCTGTAAACGTGTCACAGTATGCCCTGACTAAAGCATAAGCATGAATTTATCAACTGGGATCCAACTTCAAGGAGCTCACGGTAAGTAGGTGGGGTGTCTCTGAGTTAACTGTAAAACCTGAATGCAAACACCTGAAATGGGGAAGTTCTTGTGACCAAATGACCACATAGCTGACACTCCACGATACACTGAAGTTCAGTTTGTTTTCAAATGCCTCGTCTCTGTCATAGTAAACAGTTAGCTTCCAGAATGCCAGAATATTCTCTCCACTCCTTAATGTACTTTGGAGCCTGCAGTTAAAAACTGCTCAGTCAGGATGGCTTGACCTCCACCTCCTATTTACAGGTTTCGTCTGACAGCCACAAAAGCTGTTTTGTTGCAATTAAAGCAACATTTAACTAAAATACAGCACCTGATTTGTAGTTTTTTTTTACACAATTGAATAAAAAGCCTATAGAATAAAATTGTTTACATCTTCTCTCCATTCTAGTAAAACAAATTACTATCCCTTAACTTTTAAAAACTTTACAGCTATGAATTAAAACCTGATCATTCGATTTCATAATTGACAAAACAGGCTGTCTCTAGAGGACTTCTCAAAACACACGCGACCCCTGGCCTGAAGGAGGAGTAAGGCACACGTGGACATTACGGTGAGAGCCGGCAGCTGGCCCCAGAGCCTGGTCTGGTGTCCTACACGGCCCCGCCAGGTGAGTCACAGCCCTGGCACAACAGCTAGAACTATGAAGAGCATCCCTAGTCTGACAGCTCCATCGTAAGTTCAATACTGGAAGTATATCAAGGGGAGATTCACTTTCAAAAAGATGAGTTTTTCAAAATGCTCCATCATGAGCCTGGGCTGCCCAAAGCCACCAGTCTCTGTGGGAGTGCTGAACAGCTTTTCAGAGGGGACGGTACTTGGGGGACAGCCCAAAAATCTGACAGCCAAGGTAGACAGCCCAGGCCAGGATGACCGCTTCAGGTTCCAGTAGGTGAGTGGGTCACAGCTGTGTTCCAGCACCTCTTCCTCCAAATATGCAAGCACCATGTCTTCAGGTGGCTTCTCTCTCCGATCTCTCCTCTTCACCTTGGCCACAAGTGACCATAGGTTCTCCCCTCCACCAGAGTCTTTCGATGGGGACCCTGAGTCACAGCCATTGGACGTAGCCGTGTCTTCTGAGGTAGAATTCAGTATTTCTAGCTCCCTGATTAAGTCTTGCCTGTACTGCTCCGCCTCTTCCTCTGTGAAGAGGGAGGCTTTGTAGCGAGGGTCCAGCAGCGTGGCAAAGATGTACCTGGGGTCATGGAGGGTGGCAGACAGGCGGCTCGCCATGGCTTCCTTCAGCGACTTTAGCATGGTGTCGATGCCCATCGTCTCCCCAAAGAGCATGTCGACCTTCCTGCTGAGGATGTGGATCATAGGGATGACCTGGCTCAGAGTAGACCCGTGGGCACTCATCTCCCGGCTCGCAGCATCGAAAGGTCTCAGTGCATGACACACGGACTGCATGACCTCCCACTGGTCACAACTGATCAGTTCTCTGAAGTTACACTCGATGGACATCTCGTTCACTGCCCTCTTTTGCTCAATGAGCCGTTCGAGCATGTGAAAGGACGAGTTCCACTTGGAGGGCACATCCTGGATCAGCTGGTGCTGTGGCAGCTCGTACTCCTTCTGCAGCTCGGCTAGTTTCTCTCTGGCTCTGGGTGACCGATGGACACGTTCGCACAGCTTCCGCGCAATGCTCAGTAAGTTCTGCACCATCCTCTGGCTCTTGATGGCCTCGCTCACGATCAGGTTCACCGTGTGGCTGAAGCACTGGACGCTGGAGTGCTCCCCCTCACTCAGCGTCTTCCCTATGCTCGGATTGTCCGTGACCGTGATGCCAACCTGCAGGCCGATGGAGGTCACCCAGGCTTCCCACCAGCACTCCAGCTGCTTCTGAATGCCGCTGCCACCGTAGTCGCAGTCAACCTGCGACACGTCTAAAAGTGCTGAGCAGTGGTGGTCCTTGCATCGCGGTCGGACTGAGGACGCAAAGGTGACCCAGTGTGCCGTCAGGGTCAGGTACTCCCGGGTCTGGCTACTCATCCATATTCCAGAGGTGAAGTGGACCACACCACTCTCAGCTTCTTTCAGATGTGACATAATTATCTGCTTCACATCGTCATACATTCCTGGGATAGCTGTCCTAGAGAAGTAGGAAGGGGAAGGTAAAGAGTACTGAGGTTTCAAGTATTCGAGCAGCCTGTTAAAGCCAACGTTGTCTACAAAAGAGTATGGCTGAAGGTCAAGTGCAATCATTTCAGCTATGAGACTTGTGATTTTTTTGGCAACTGGGTGAGAGTCATAAAACTTCTCAGTAGGGTCATCAAAGGAGGTCACCGGGGCTCCCGATGGCTCCACACTCAATGGTGCCCGAATGCCTGGGGAGCAGGGCCGTGCAGCCTCTGAGACACCAGTCTTGAGCACGTGGCCGTGGAACCGCTGCAGATGTCTCAGGAGGCAGCTGGTGCCCAGGTTGGTGGGCTTTTGCCCCTGCTGATGGTCCGGCCACAGTGCAGGCACACCACCTTAGTGGAGTCTGCAGAGCAAATAGAAAAGTGGTTCCACAGCTTTGAGGTCTTCTTGCTATTAGCGGGAAAGATACATTGATGGTTTTTTCTGACCACTGTTGGTAAGTCTGTCAGTTTGGAGGAGGAACTTTCTGCCGAAGCCAAAGTGGCATATGGAGAGTTTGCCAAACTTGCCCCCAGAAAGCTCTTCTGGTTCCCAACAACTTCAGGGTGGCGTCGGTACAGGTGTCGCATCAGACAGCTGGTGCCCACATCCCCTTTCTTCCCCCGACTGATGACACAGCCACAGTACCGACACACTGCCTTGAGGCTGTCCATGGGGGCCAGTGAAAAGTGGTGCCAGACTTCAGACTTCAGTCTTTTCATGACCTTTTTGTTCTGCTGGAAGACAGCACCTGATTCAAACCTTCTCAGACTCTCCCCATCAGCTGGCTGCTTCTCAGGAGAGGACACCACAGAGGCCTCACCCAGTTCATCAGAGGATGACAACATGGACACATCTTCCTGGGGCACATCCTCAGGATTCCTGTGTGATGGCAGATCCTCGGTCAGCCTGTCTGGGGATGAGGAGGCAGAGGGACTCTCTTTGACCAGCTTCCGTGGAGACGATGACAGAGTATTTGGATCCCCCTCTGGAGCCAGCAGGGCAGGCAGGAGGGTTGGCGGGGCAGGGTACAGGGGTGGGATGCCTGTGCCACCCCCGTTCTCCTGCAGCACGATGGACCGGTGTGCTCGCCACATGTGCCTGATGAGGCAACTCGTGCCCAGGTCCTTCCCGTTCTTCCCTCTGCTGAACTCATTCATGCAGTGGACGCAGACGGCTTTGGAGCTATCGAGGGGCGACAAGTAGAAGTGTTTCCAGACGGCCGACCTCCTCCTGGACCCGGACGTACTCTTGGGGAGGGGAAGGTTCCTCTCCACCATGCTCTCAGTTTCATCATAATGGAGCGTGGGGAGGTGTGGGGATGGCCCTGCCAGGGCCTCTTCTCTACCATCAGAGAAGACCTCTGAGGACACCTCTTCAGAAGAGACCACAGACACAGACTCCTCCGTTATTCGGTCAGGGGATGGGATCTTGGGAGCCAGCTTCGCGAGTCTGATGGGTGAGAGCACACTGCTGAGGTCGCCCACATCGGCAGGCTGTGGGGGAAGCAGGAGCGAGGGGGAGGGAAAGGAGGACCCCGATGACATGCTTCCGTTTTCTTGCATGAGCTTGGTGGGGTGTGCCCGTCTCACATGTCTCATGAGACAACTTGTACTCAAGTCTTTTTCATTTTTGCCCCTACTGAACTCTTTCATACAGTATGTGCATATTGCTTTAGTGCTATCTCGAGGAGAGATAAAGAAATGCTTCCAAGCTGGGGACTTCTTCCTGGAGCTTATGTGGCGGCTAGAAAGGAGGCTCTGGGTAACGGCTTCCATGGCTACGTTGTACAGTGTGCTGCTGTACTGGGAGAAGAGCGACCCGTAGTCATCCTCGCTCTCAGCAGGTAAGTACTTCCCAGGGGGCTGACAAGCACAGCTTGACGCTCCAATTTCTGCCTGCTCATCACCACTGTCTGTCTGTCTCATGTCCTCCGGCTCACTTTTAAAGTCCATTCTTTCCACACCATGACTAGGAATTTGATCATCGTCCTCCTCCTCTATTTTGAAATTTACTTTATCAGAAATGAGATCACTGTCCCCTTTGGGACAAGTTTCTTGCTTATTCTCCATGACCAATCATAACTATCCGGCTGCTTCATCACGTTAACGTAGTAGGTTAATAAAAACTGGTCTGAGTACTGATCTGTGTCGCCAAATGAGAATCCCTCACTTTTTCAGAGCAATCCCATCTTTCAGAATGTTTCCATGAGCATGGCTGACCATGACTATCACTGGGAGGCGAGCGAGAACGTGGTTTATAGGAGCACACCGTTTCAGGATGCAAAGCCCAGCTGTCCAGGGGTGCTTCCACTAACCACTTCACAGTGTGGACACAAATGTTTGAAGTAGAGACATGCTTCTGGTCTTAAAGACAGGCTCCCCATCATCTTGATAATACCCGTGATCCTTTTGCACTTCCTATAAAAAATGACATCAAATTAAGCACAGAATGAAATCATACATACGTTTCAAAATCTACACTGCCATGGACACATCAGTCTGAATATGTAAGAAGAAAGTTCCATAATGGAAAACTGATACAGAAAAACTTGTTGGTAGTCCACTCAAATACGAGGAATACCCTAGCACTGCAAAACTAGCAAAAAGTAAAGGTAGGAATTAAAATTCAAATGGCCTACTAGTAAAGGATGGGGGGACATGAAGAAAAAGCTACAATGATATTAAGAGGTCACTTTCACCTAGAATTCACACCCTCCCCCTGCAGCTTTCCTCACTGAGGTATTTAAAAGCTGAACTCCTTGAAATCAATTCATGTACCTTGCTATAAGAATGAGTGTGCAGGCTAGAGGTGTTGTTCAAGTGGTAGAGCACCTGCCTAGCAAGCATGAGGCCCTAAGTTCAAACCCCAGTGTTGCCAAAAAAAAAAAAGAGTGACTATGAAAATGGGAGTTTAAAAAACACTCCAGCTAATCTATGAAAAGTTCACGGACTAAACTGGATTGAAATTCAAAGGCTAATGAAGATGTATAGGGCAGGCGTGGAGCAGTTTAAAAAGTAGCCACAATAGTAGTGTTGGCAATGTGGCAGTGTTAACACCAGAACTCACTCGTGTCACTGGGCACATGGGAACTTTCCAAGGAACTGGCACAGCGTGAGCTGAGCCACAACAGCCAACAGGAGGAGTTACTGTGGGCAGGCTCTCATCCACACTGGGCCTCTAAGTGGAGGGGCCCAGTCTGACACTCCCAAACGCACACAATTCAAAGCAGTGAGAACACTATATGATTTATTTTCTAAACCTGGGCATTTCTGAGAGAGAAAACTGTTAGGACAACAGGCTTGAGCCAAACCCTTCTGGGGTAAAGCATGGTATTTGGTCTCCCTTAAAATGTCCCCAAGTTAATCAGACTGCTAGCTCCATCAGAAATAAATGCAGATGGGTTCTGAAAGAAGGCACATACAACAGGGATGTCAGAGACAAAGGTGACCCAAAAAACCCCTGAAAGTGTGGGATGTAGTTGAGTAGCAAAGGATGTGCTTAGTATGTGTGCATGAGGCCCTGGGGTGAATCCCCAGCACCACTTTAAAAAAACAAACAAACAATTCAATTACCACAGAAATTAAATATCATTAAATGCACAAGGAAACAAGCCACCATGAGGGAAAGCAGGCAAAAGAAACAACAGTTAAAGAACACTGAGGACTTTCCTGACTAGAGTCACAGTTAGGTACTGCCCATGACCATGCCTCTTAAAACATCATGTGACTCACACAACTATACATACACTATAATTTATATATTTATATATTTTGTGGTAGTGTGGCTTGAACAAGGGCTTCATCCTTGCTAGGCAGGTGTTCTACCACTTGAGCCACTCCACCAGCCTATATAAAATGTTTTTAGTAAAAAACAGAAAACAATGAAAAATAGGTAATGTAAGAGACTATAAAAATGAGAAGCTAGATTTGGAAAAGAATCAAGCAGAACAGTAAGAATAACATCTGCAAATCCAAACCACAATGAGACACCAGCTTATTTAACACTAGCATGGCTAGAGTAAAAACTGCTAAGTCTTAAGGAGAATGTGGAGAAGCAGGACTTGGACACCTGCTGGTACAGATGTAAAACCAGATGACCTCGCTAGAAATCAGTATGACAGTTCCTCAAAAAGCTAAACCCAGTGTTCTCCAGTGTTCCTCCAGCAGTTCTACTCTCAGATACATACCAGGAGAAATGAGAACATCTCCCACAAGACTTAGACATGAGTGCTCGAGGCAGCATTACATCAGCCAGTAAGGAGAAGCAAGCTGACAGAGACGACCATCAACTCATGAATGGGTTTTCAAATGTGATGCACATTCACACCAGGGCGTAAGTGAGCCATCGAGAAGCATGAAGTATTAGAGTGTGGCTTACAAGCTGAGTGCAGTGGTATACACATAATCCCAGCTACTTGGGAGGATCGTAAATTCAAGGACAACCTGGGCAATATAGCAAAACCCTATCTCAAAACAACAAGAACAACAACAAAATCACTAGAGCATACAAGAAGATGGATGAACCTTAAAAACATCAAGCCAAGTGAAGAGAAACCAGGCCCAAAGATCAGATACTGTATGACTGAATTTGTATGAAATGTCCCAACTGAGCAAATCCAGACAGATTCAGAAGAGTGTTTAAGAAACAGTGAATTATTATCGATGAAATGATGATATATTTAGATTTTGCTTCAAAAATGATGTAATTGAGGTAGAGGTAGGAGATGGGACACTCAACAGTTGAAACAGGATTGTCCCTGTGCTGACAATGGTTAAAACACAGAATAGTATATGGGACTCATTGGATGGAGTTTATTGTGCAGTCTACATTTGTAAATGTTTGAGCTTTCCCTAATAAAAAGGATTTTTAAATCTACAGATCAGTATAATAAAAAATAAAGGCAAAATTCTTTTAAAGTTTTTAACAAATTAGAGCCATCAATATATAAAAAACATAATACACCATGACCAAGTAGGTTTAATGCTAAAACTGCAAAGTTTAACATTCAAAAATAAAGTGTTGTAGGGAAATGTGTATAGGGGCACATCCACAGATGGCAAGAGACTGTCCATGGGTGGACAGCCCCACACCTAGCACAGCTCCCTGAAGACTCGCTGGTGCACGGTGGTCTCAGGCAGCAGCAAGACTGGGGATTCCTAGGATTTGGATTAGGACAAAAGTAACTTCACCCAAGGTGGGATGTGCCTGGTTGTCAAGTACCATGTATGCTGACAATATTGTTTAATTACAATATTGTTAGGAAGCTGCACAGGGAAACCACTAGGTTTAGCCAGAGGCGAGGTGGTGGTCTCCACCCAGGGTGTTGTGGTCAGGTCACACTGGGCCCTACATAAATCCAGGTAATTCCACACACTGAGAGGACCATGAACAAAGCCCTATGATCATTTAATAGATGCAGAAAGAGCACTGACATAATTCAACAGCCATGCATGATAAAAAGCCTCACCAAATGAGAAGAAAACTTCTTTGATCTGCTAAAGGGTAAGGATGAACAGCTGCAGCCAGCGTCTGTCATGCTCAATGATGAAGCCTAAGATTGCTGCCCTAGATCGCCCAGGATACGACAAGGCTGTTCTCGCCACTCTCGGATCATTTGTGGGGGCTAAAGTCTGCTCGGGAACATGGAGATAGCACACATGCTGCAAGTCACTTGTATAAAGCCTGAAACAAGTCTCAGCAAGCATACAAGGCAGGACATAACATTAAAACAGCTATTATAAATACCATTCACAGTTTGAAGAAATAAAGGAAATGATAAAAATGAACAATACAGAAAATGCCCAAACAGCCAGGGGCTGGTGGCTCACGCTTGTAATCCTAGCTACTCAGGAGGCAGAGATCAGGAGGATCACGGTTCGAAGACAGCCCAGGGAAATAGTCCACGAGACCCTCATCTCGAAAAACGCTTCACAAAAAAAGGGCTGGTGGAGTGGCTCAAGATGTAGGCCCTGAGTTTAAGCCCCAGTACCACAAGGAAAAAAAAAAAAAAACCAAACCAAATAGAATGTATAGAGATGAAGAATACACTATTTTAAAACAGAGCATTAACTATGTCACAAACTGCAAAAGATCAATGCATCTGAAGACACAAAAATAGAAACAATGCAAGATGAAAAAAGGAGAACAATGGGAAAGTTAAAAACCTGTGTATCAAAGTTGACTATCAAGGGGAAAATGTTTGCAAATAAGATAGATAAGAAGTTACTGTCTAGCAAATCAGATATATTAACTAATATCCAGAATAAACAACACTTACATCTCAATTCAAAAATGGACAAAGGACTCAGACATTTCTCCAAACAAGATATTCATATGACCGACAAGCACACTGCAGGTGCTCATCACTGATCATTAGGAAAATGTGAATAAAAACCACAAGACAATTTCATACTCACTAGGATTGCTACCATTAAAAACAAACAAACAAAAAAAAACCAACAACAACATAAATGGGCTGGGTATGGTAGTCCAGCCTTCAATCCCTGCCACATGGGAGGCAGAGATGGGAGAATAGCAATTCAAAGCCAAAAAAAAAAAAAAAAAAAAGATGGGGAGATCCTTATCTCAAAACAAGTTGGCAACTGCCTGCAAGAGCAACAGGAGAGACTTTTGACAGTTAAGGTTACCACAATACCTGCAGCTGCCACTCACTTTTCCTAATGTTTTAGGAAGAAAAAACAAAACAAAAAAAGCTGGGCACCAGTGGCTCATTGTCTGTAATCCTAGCTGCTCAGGAGACAGAGATCAGGAGGATTGGGGTTTGAGGCCAGCCCAGGAAAAAAGTTCATGAGACTCTATCTTGAAAAAATCCATCACAAGAAAAGGGATGGTGGAGTGGCTCAAGGTGTAGGCCTTGAGTTCAAATCCAGTACCGAGGGGGAAAAAAAAAGAACAAGTCAGGCATGATGGCATACATCTGTAATCTCAGCTAGGCAGAAGGTAGAAGTAGGAAGATCACACAGTCTGAGATCATCCCTGGGCAAAAAAACTCAAAACCTTCTCTGAAAAACAACTAAAGCAAAAAGAGCTGGGAGTGTAGTCAAAAGGAAGAACACTTGCCTAGAAAGCCCAAGGCCCTGAGTTCAAACTCTCATACCGCCAAAAAAAACCCAAAAAAACAAAATCACGAGGCTGGAGGTGTGGCTCAAACAGTAGAGCGCCACCTAGCAAGCACAGAGCCCTTTCACTACCACCAAAAAAGAAAAAAAAATGTGAGAAAGTGTTGAGGGGTTGAGAAGAAGCTGAAACCCTCCTCAGTACGGGGCAGGTTAGGGCACGGCAGTGCTGTAGGAGGCACTCTGGCAGATCCTCACGACGTTAAACCTAGAATTGCATGTGACCCAGCAGCTCATCCCCACAAGAGCTCAACCACAGATGCACCCAAGGTCCCTGAAAT